AAAACGAGACGGACTACACAAAGGAGACGGAACAAACGAGATGGACTACACAAAGGAGACGGAACAAACGAGATGGACTACACAAACGAGACGGACTACACAAACGAGACAGACTACACAAACGAGACAGACTACACAAACGAGACAGACTACACAAACGAGACAGACTACACAAACGAGATAGACTACACAAACGAGATGGACTACACAAACGAGATGGACTACACAAACGAGATGGACTACACAAACGAGATGGACTACACAAACGAGATGGACTACACAAACGAGATGGACTACACAAACGAGATGGACTACACAAACGAGATGGACTACACAAACGAGATGGACTACACAAACGAGATGGACTACACAAACGAGATGGACTACACAAACGAGATGGACTACACAAACGAGATCATTATGAGACCTCCTTTGCCAGTAACAAGATATAGGAATAGGTTTTACCCTTTTAACTGGCACAAAAACTGACACATTTATGGTCCAACACCAATGGAGACTAGGCTCTAAGAAAAGCCGTCTCAGGTGTGGACCAATCAAATTCAAGGACAGTGCATATTATTATCAGAGTTGTCTCTTTTGTTTGCATTTTGACTGCTTGTGTTGTGGTTATTGCAAACATGATGCCTTGAATAAAGGTGTCAGTTTTTGTGCCAGTTAAAAGGGTAAAACCTATTCCTACAAACGAGATCGACAACACAAACGAGATAGACTACAAGACAGGGCCACACACGCACACGCTCAACATCATCACAGTCCTGTTGAGAAAACGAAAAGCAAAGCTTGGAACGAACGCAGACGACGGCATGGAATGACCGCGCGTCCGTCACACGAGTGGTTCGTATAAACATCTTTATTAACGCGTTACTTGCCGTAACTATTTACCGTCTAACGATGTGTATTTATATATTTGTTTTCCACGCACGTATAACTTAGAGACTCTCCGATAAGTTAACATTCCATTCGGGCGAACGCTGTTAGACCTCAAAGGTGCAAGCAAGTGGCACGCACGCACGCAGGGTACAAACAATATTTGCAAACGCGCGCACACACACGCGCGCGCACACACACACACGCGCGCGCACATAAACACGCGCACGCACGCACACACACAAGCGCGCGCGCACACGCACGCACGCACGCACACACGCGCGCAAACACACGCGCGCACACACAAGCGCGCACGCACACACACACGCATACACACAAGCGCGCCCACACACACACAAGCGCGCACACACACACGCACACACACAAGCGCGCACACACACGCGCGCGCACCGTTTAGCAAGCGCCGATTCGGGCCTGCACACTGCTACCCCGCGCGCTCATGAAGGGCGTTGATGGCGTGGTCCGAGAAGAACCACGCCCGGCCACCTTCGTCTCCGGCACCGCTGAACCTCGTCTCGCATACTTCACCAAAAAGTACTGTCGCCGTGTTTAGGCCGAGCACACGTAGGGGGAGGCCAGAGACATGCCGCCCCCCCCCCCCCCCACACACACACACACGTTGCCTTGCAAAGATGGGGCAGGATTCGAACTCGGACGGCTGAGTTCCAGTGCAGTGCAAACTGCTAGCCAATCCCCCTCCAACGCTAAAACAAAAACCACGAAGATTTACCCCACGTCGTCGTTCATAGCTTGAGGGGTGGGCGGGGGTAGGGGCAAGCGTCGTCAGGCAGCAGCGATGCTCATGTTGTACTGCGCGGGCTTGTGGTCAGCACCACGCCCGGCCGCCTTTGTCTTCCCGGTGCTGATGGTCATCACACCGCCCGCACCGGGTACGGTCTCCCGCAACGCCACGCGTGTTATTTTCATCAACGCGAACTCGAACATGATGCGATGATGAATGTGATGGCGTGGGGTGGGGGGGAGGAAACGCATTTTTGCCATCTTATCTTAATGAGATTCATAAAGCGCCTTTGCCAAGGCGCTTTACAGCAATTATAACAGTGCACATGGCGTGACAACAAGAATTGGGTTATTTGTACGTGGTGTAGATTTTCATGCAAGCAAAGCAAGATGGATCGATAGAGGGGGCTTGGTTGAGATAGGCCTGCTCGTAGTTGGGGGGGCGAGGTGGGGGGGAGCTGCATTGGGAAGACAAAGGGGGGGCGGGCGAGGAGCTGGAGCCAGGAGGGAGAAGGGGAGGGGGGGGGCACCGCGGTCGAGGCCGCCGCCGACGCCCGCAACGTAGTGAACGAGCGGTCGTACGGCTGCCTCGGCGTAGCATCATCGCGCACGGCGTTGAGGATGCTGCTGGATACTTTCTGGATGCTACCCACGCGACTCGGTCTTCGTTCGGGGCCCGCGGACGCATCTCGCATGCTCTCTGCGCTTTACCCCTAGATTATATAATTTTATTATAACGCGATTTCCCCACACCTCCCCCCCCCCCCATAACGCGGTATTCTTCAGCAACGCAACTACCGCCACCGCGTTTTAGTCGAACATTTAAAGCCCCGAGTCACCCGTCATAGTGGACGTCTCAGGAACCGGTCTTTAATGTCACTCGCCACGGATGTTCGCCGCGGCCGGAACTCAAACCCAGGTCAGCCAGGTTGGTAGTGCATTGCACTCGCCGCTGTACCACCGCTCTCCAGAAACAACAACACACACAACAAAGACAAAGATCCCCCGTGTAGCCTTAGCAGACTGTAGGGGCAAGTGCTGTTAGCGAGCACCTATGAAGGCCGGAACGGCACACGAGGGGGTGGGTGGCCGGCACCACGCCCGACCGCCTTCGTCTCCCCAGCGGCCAGCGGCGATGTTTACGCACAGCGTCAGGTATTCATTTGAGGCAAGGTCGACCTAGGGGAGGCCCAGAACCGGCTAAGATTATCGTCACTGGTGTCGGCCGTGAGCGGGAATGGAACTCGGGCCGACGGGTAGCGCTAACCGCAACTACGCTGACGCTCCACACACACACGGCACGTGCCGCAGCTGTCATGCACGATAGAGGGAGGCAGTAGGGGCGGTGGCTGTGGAGTGTGCAGGCGGTGCAATGCACTGGGGGCCCCCCACGGGCCGCTGGGGGACGCAGCGCCTGGCCTACGGAGAGACGAGGGGCCAATTGCCAACTACACTGACAGTGAGATACATAGGATGACGCAGAGAGACCCATGGACTCGCCCGGAGATCCATAGACTGAAACATAGATCCATAGACTTAGTCGGACATTGGTGACCCGTGGATTAACAGAGACCCATAGACATACACAGAGACCCGTGGACTCGCACAGATACCCGTGGACTCGCACAGATACCCGTGGACTCACACAGAAACCCGTGGACTCACGCAGATACTCGTGGACTCACGCAGAGACCCGTGGACTCACGCAGAGACCCGTGGACTCACACAGAGACCCGTGGACTCACACAGATACCCGTGGACTCACACAGAGACCCGTGGACTCACAGAGACCCGTGAACTCACGCACAGACTCGTGGACTCACACAGAGACCCGTGGACTCACACAGAGACCCGTGGACTCACGCAGAGACCCGTGGACTCACACAGACCCGTGGACTCACGCACAGACTCGTGGACTCACACAGATACTCGTGGACTCACACAGAAACCCGTGGACTCACGCAGAGACCCGTGGACTCACAGAGACCCGTGGACTCACACAGATACCCGTGGACTCATGCTGCCCCTGTCCAAGTCCGATTGCCTCTCCCTCTCTCTCTGTGTACAATATAAAGGCGCTCGCTATTACCGACCCCGCAGGCCGGCACACAGACACATTCTCACAGACTCGCAAGCACATGGGCCCATTGCCTCGCACGGGACCCCACAGACTGCCGTCGTAGCAGCAGCAGCAGCAACAGCAGCACTCGGTGGGCCGGTAGCTATCGAGCGTGTGCAGGCGGTGCAACTGCACCAGGCAGGGGCGGGGGTGGGGGGGAGGGGGCGGTCCCGCGCCGGCCACCGCCAGCGGGTCGCGTGCTTTGTGTGTAAAGCGTTCATCGCGCAAGTTGCATAGAGACTCCGTAGCCCCGGGCGGCACGGCGTCGCGCGGCGTCACACCTCGCGGGTGGGTGGGAGGGGGGGTAGTGGGGTAACACCACTGCAGTAGGAGGATGCGGTTACAGAGAGCGGGACGAGTGAACACGTGGAGAGAGCGCCAGACACGCCGTGGTGCGCGAGATATAGAATGGCACTGGTCGGACGTGCAGGGCGCGGCGAAGGCGACGGCGGCGTCGTGCGACCGCTCGGGGAGACGCTCGGCCGCGGCCCGCGGCGCCTTCTGCGGCCGTCTGGAACGCTCTTCCCTCCGGTATTAGGAGGCTACTGGAGAGTCTATGCACTTTGAAGTCGTCATCGTCGTCGAGATTGAAAACGCATTTTTTTGCACAACTGCTTTTTTGTGTTCGGCTTAGCGGGGGGGGGGGGGGGGGGGGGGGGGTGGCTACGTACGGTGCGAAAGAAGTTCAACGTACGTACACATGTAGTGTCATGATTGACTTTTGCAGACATTGCCCCCCCCCGCCCGCCCCTCCCCCCTCCACTCCCGACGAGTTGACCTCTCACCTTTCACCGAAATCCATCCGTTGGTTGGGGGTTCTAGTGGCGATGGGGAGGTGGGTGGGTGGGTGGGTGGGCGGGGGGTGGTTATTTGAACCCCCCACGACCCCTCCTAAATAAAGTTTCCTTCCCCGCAGCCTTTGGCGGACCTGTCCCAACAGCGACACCACCACCCCTCTCCCCCACGGATCTCTCGCTCGCCTTCTCCCGCCGGGGGTCGGTGCACGCCCCGGGTCAGCCACGCCCGCGCACGACCCCCTCACCCCGGCCTATCGAGCGCCGGGGAGTGTTTGTCGACCCGCGTGGACGGCCGCTGCGCCGCAGAGCGCCGTCGTCCCCACGTGCAATGCGCTCGCACGCTCTCGCTCGCTCTCACGCTCGCACGCTCACGCTCGCACGCTCGCTCTCACGCTCTCACGCTCACGCTCACGCTCGCACGCTCACGCTCTCACGCTCTCACGCTCACGCTCGCACGCTCTCACGCTCGCGTCGACCGCGCGCGGACCGAGCGCCCCGTCACTGCCGCTCCTGCTGCGTGGCGGCGGTGGGACCGGCGGCTGCGGCAGAGGCGGCCGGCTCCCGGCGGGGGAGGCCCAGGCAGCCGATGCACAGCTGGTCCAGCCAGAGCGGCGCCTCGTGCTGGAGCGGCGCGCGGCGCGGGAAGAAGGTGTGCTGCAGGTCGTAGTTGAGCAGGCAGCTCACGCACGTCATGTAGACGTCGGCGAAGCGCGACAGCCGCCGGTTGAAGTACGTCGGGTTCTGGTGCGTGCGGAAGAGGCTGCCGAACTGGGGGTTGAACAGGCTCTTGGTCACCGTTCTGCGCGCAGGGGGCGGTGGGGGCGGTTACAGCAGGAGGACGGGACAGCGGCGACAGCGACGGGGAGAACGGAAGATAAATTGTGGAGGTGGTAAAGGTGGATGGATGCGGGAAAGGTTGCTCGGGTAAAGCTTTTGGAACGAGTCGGCGTGTACGGCACTGCCCGTTGTGGAACGATGCGATCCCAGAGAGTGAGCGGGTGAGTGGGCGATGAAGTTTGCGAGCGGGCTGGTGAACGAGCAAGCGGGTGGGTAAGTAGGTTCGTGGGCGGGTGAGTGAGTGAGTTGGGAAGTGGATGAGCGAGTGCATTTTGAGCGAGTGAGCTTGAGGTTAGGGGGTGAGTGAGTGTTGGGTGAGTGGGTATGTGGGTGAGTGAGTGGGTTAGTGGGTAAGTGAGCAGGTTAGTGGGCGAGTGGGCAAGTGAGTGGGTCAGTAGGTGAGTGATTGAGTTAGTGATTAAGTTAGTGAGTGAGTGAGCGAACGAGCGATCCACTTTGTTTGCGTGCCGAGTGTGTGAGTGGACGAGCGAGTGAGTAGGCTGGTGGATGCGTTCTCACCGGAGCTCCTGGCGCTCACGGTCCCACTCTTGCACGACCTCGAGGCACTCGGGGCTCCGGTAAACCTGCCCAGCACACGCAGCCACACGGCGGAACAGGCGGTGACGTACCGCACTAACACGCAGGTGCACGTCCCATCGCGCAGGTGCATGGTCCTATCACACAGGTGTGTGTGTCTATCACACAGGTGTGTGTGTCTATCACACACACCTGTGTGTGTCTATCACACACACCTGTGTGATAGACACACACACAGGTGTGTGTGTCTATCACACACAGGTGTGTGTGATAGACACACACAAGTGTGTGTGTCTATCACACAGGTGCGTGGTCCTATCACGCAGGTGTGTGTGTCTATCACACAGGTGCGTGGTCCTATCACGCAGGTGTGTGTCTATCACGCAGGTGTGTGTGTCTATCACACACACCTGTGTGTGTCTATCACACACACCTGTGTGTGTCTATCACACACACCTGTGTGATAGACACACACACAGGTGTGTGTCTATCACACAGGTGCGTGGTCCTATCACGCAGGTGTGTGTCTATCACGCAGGTGTGTGTGTCTATCACACACACCTGTGTGTGTCTATCACACACACCTGTGTGTGTCTATCACACACACCTGTGTGATAGACACACACACAGGTGTGTGTCTATCACACAGGTGCGTGGTCCTATCACGCAGGTGTGTGTCTATCACGCAGGTGTGTGTGTCTATCACACACACCTGTGTGTGTCTATCACACACAGGTGTGTGTGATAGACACACACAGGTGTGTGTGTCTATCACACAGGTGCGTGGTCCTATCACGCAGGTGCGTGGTCCTATCTCGTACAGGTACCGTCCTATCAGTCATGCACAGGTGCGCGTCTCAGCACAGAATCGTCAACTTGTGTCGACCCCCGACCCCCCCCCCCGCCCCCCGCGGCTGGCTCACCTGCTGGCTCACCTGCTGGCTCACCTGCTGGCTCACCTGCTGGCTCACCTGCTGGCTCACCTGCATGCGGTCGATGAGCCCCGTGAGCGCCTGCAGCCAGGTGAGCTGGCGCGTGTACTCGGCCGAGTTGATGGTGTTGATCTCGTCGCGCAGCTCCGGGATGATGGCGCCCGTCCTCCAGCCGTGCCGCAGCGTCAGGTCCTGCCGGAGGAGGAGGAGGAGGAGGGGTGGCACCGCAGTTGCGCTGGTGATGGCGGCGGAGCTGGTCCTCGTGGCGACGGCGGTGGGGTCGGCGGCGCTGTGGCCGATGTCGCAGTACGAGCCGCCCTGCTCCGCCTCGACCTGTGGTGTGCCGCGGTGGTGGTGGTGGTGGTGGTGGTGTCGATGGTGGTGGTGGTGTCGGTGGTGTCGGTGGTGGTGTTGTCGGTAGTGGTAGAGGTGGCGCGCGCGCATGCATTATTAACGCGGCCACGAGAGTGTGTTTGAGAATGTAGAGCTATAGAGGAGTGGCGGGAGAGATAAATATATACATACCGCTTCATGGAGGTGTATCTCTATGGAGGAGTATTTCAACAGATGGTTATCACTGTAGAGTATCGCTGTAGATGCGTATCCCTCTAGATGCGTATCAGCATCCATGTGTGTCACTGTCGAGGCGCATCACACTCTAGATGCGTGTATGTCTGTGTGGGCGAGCCGGGCCGTGGTACCGCGAGGTCGCTGTAGATGTGGTCCCCGAAGTACAGCACGTGGGAGCCCACCCAGCCAGTGAGCCGCATGAACTCGTAGAGGTTGCCCTGCGCGCGCCACCACACAAGAGACAAAGGTCCCCCGCGTGGCCTGCAACGGACTGTCGGGGCGAGTGCCGTGAGCGAGCGGCAGCGATGGGCGGCACCGCGGGGAATGTTTACCCACCGCGCCGGGTGCTCGTTCGGGGCCGAGCTCGCTCCGAAAGGGGGGGGGGGGGGGGGGGGGGGGGAAGGGCCGGGACCGGTTCATCCAATCGTCACCGGTGGTGGCGGCCAAGAGCGGGAGTGGGACCCGCGTCTTCCCACGACACGCACATGCACGAGTGCACACGCACGACACGCACACGCACGACACGCACGACACGCACGAGTGCACACGCACGACACGCACACGCATGACACGCACGACACGCACGACATGCACAGGCACGACACGCACGACACGCACGAGTGCACACGCACGAGCACGCGCACGTTCAATCACCGCTCAGGAGTCCAACTCATCGGGCAGTGCTGCTTTGTCGCTCGCAGCTCGACGCTTTGGGCTTGTGCGTACAGTATGGACACAGTACGCATGAACTTCCTTCACACCGTACGTAGCCGGCCGTGCTACTCGGAGGTGCGAGGCCTACGGCCAAGTCCACCCGGCCGTTCAGAGTCCTCCTCGGGTCTCCACGTGAGTCTACGGGTCTCCGGGTCAGTCTACGGGTCTCTACGTGAGTCTACGGGTCTCTGGGTGAGTCTACGGGTCTCTGTGTGAGTCTACGGGTCTCTGGGTGAGTCTACGGGTCTCTGGGTGAGTCTACGGGTCTCTGTGTGAGTCTACGGGTCTCTGGGTGAGTCTACGGGTCTCTGGGTGAGTCTACGGGTCTCTGGGTGAGTCTACGGGTCTCTGGGTGAGTCTACGGGTCTCTGGGTGAGTCTAAGGGTATCTACGTGAGTTTACGGGTCTCTGTGTGAGTCTATGGGTCTCTGTGTGAGTCTATGGGTCTCCACGTGAGTCTACGGGTCTCCGGGTGAGTCTACGGGTCTCTGCGTGAGCCTACGGATCTCTGGGTGAGTCTACGGGTCTCTGGGTGAGTCTACGGGTCACTGGGTGAGTCTACGGCTCTCTGTGTGAGTCTACGGGTCTCTGGGTGAGTCTAAGGGTCTCTGGGTGAGTATTCTGGTCTCTGCGTGAGTCTACGGGTCTCTACGTGAGTCTATGGATCTCTGGGTGAGTCTACGTACGGGTCTCTGGGTGAGTCTACGGGTCACTGGGTCAGTCTACGGGTCTCTGTGTGAGTCTACGGGTCACTGGGTGAGTCTACGGGTCTCTGGGTGAGTCTGCGGGTCTCTGGGTGAGTCTGCGGGTCTCTGTGAGAGTCTACGGGTCACTGGATGAGTCTGCGGGTCACTGGGTGAGTCTGCGGGTCACTGGGTGAGTCTGTGGGTCACTGGGTGAGTCTGCGGGTCTCTGGGTGAGTCTGCGGGTCTCTGTGAGAGTCTACGGGTCACTGGGTGAGTCTGCGGGTCACTGGGTGAGTCTGCGGGTCACTGGGTGAGTCTGCGGGTCTCTGGGCGAGTCTACGGGTCTCTGGATGAGTCTACGGGTCACTGGGTGAGTCTGCGGGTCTCTGGGCGAGTCTACGGGTCTCTATGTGAGTCTACGGGTCTCTATGTGAGTCTACGGGTCTCTGCGCGAGTCTGCTGGTCTCTGTGTGAGTCTGCTGGTCTCTGTGTGAGTCTACTGGTCTCTGTGTGAGTCTATGGGTCTCTGCGCGAGTCTACTGGTCTCTGTGTGAGTCTACGGGTCTCTGCGTGAGTCTACGGGTCTCTATGTGAGTCTTCGGGTCTCTGCGTGAGTCTTCGGGTCTCTGTGCGAGTCTACGGGGTCTCTGTGCGAGTCTACGAGTCTCTGCCTGAGTCTACGGGTCTCTGTGTGAGTCTTCGAGTCTCTGCGCGAGTCTACGGGTCTCTGTGCGAGTCTACGAGTCTCTGCCTGAGTCTACGGGTCTCTGCGTGAGTCTACGGGTCTCTGTGTGAGTCTTCGAGTCTCTGCGTGAGTCTACGGATCTCTGGGTGAGTCTGCGGGTCTCTGCGTGAGTCTACGGATCTCTGGGTGAGTCTGCGGGTCTCTGCGTGAGTCTACGGGTCTCTGCGTGAGTCTATGGGTCTCTGCGTGAGTCTAGAGGTCTCTGCGTGAGTCTACAGGCCTCTGCCTGAGTCTACGGGTCTCTATGTGAGTCTACGGGTCTCTGCGTGAGTCTATGGGTCTCTGTGTGAGTCTACAGGTCTCTGGGTGAGTCTACGGGTCTCTGCGTGAGTCTATGGGTCTCTGCGTGAGTCTATGGTCTCTGCGTGAGTCTACAGGTCTCTGCGTGAGTCTACGGGGTCTCTATGTGAGTCTACGGGTCTCTATGTGAGTCTACGGGTCTCTGCGCGAGTCTGCTGGTCTCTGTGTGAGTCTACGGGGTCTCTGTGTGAGTCTACTGGTCTCTGTGTGAGTCTATGGGTCTCTGCGTGAGTCTACAGGTCTCTGCGTGAGTCTATGGTCTCTGTGTGAGTCTACAGGTCTCTGCGTGAGTCTATGGGTCTCTGTGTGAGTCTACGGGTCTCTGCGTGAGTCTACGGGTCTCTATGTGAGTCTTCGGGTCTCTGCGTGAGTCTTCGGGTCTCTGTGCGAGTCTACGGGGTCTCTGTGCGAGTCTACGAGTCTCTGCCTGAGTCTACGGGTCTCTGTGTGAGTCTTCGAGTCTCTGCGCGAGTCTACGGGTCTCTGTGCGAGTCTACGAGTCTCTGCCTGAGTCTACGGGTCTCTGCGTGAGTCTACGGGTCTCTGTGTGAGTCTTCGAGTCTCTGCGTGAGTCTACGGATCTCTGGGTGAGTCTGCGGGTCTCTGCGTGAGTCTACGGATCTCTGGGTGAGTCTGCGGGTCTCTGCGTGAGTCTACGGGTCTCTGCGTGAGTCTATGGGTCTCTGCGTGAGTCTAGAGGTCTCTGCGTGAGTCTACAGGCCTCTGCCTGAGTCTACGGGTCTCTATGTGAGTCTACGGGTCTCTGCGTGAGTCTATGGGTCTCTGTGTGAGTCTACAGGTCTCTGGGTGAGTCTACGGGTCTCTGCGTGAGTCTATGGGTCTCTGCGTGAGTCTATGGTCTCTGCGTGAGTCTACAGGTCTCTGCGTGAGTCTACGGGGTCTCTATGTGAGTCTACGGGTCTCTATGTGAGTCTACGGGTCTCTGCGCGAGTCTGCTGGTCTCTGTGTGAGTCTACGGGGTCTCTGTGTGAGTCTACTGGTCTCTGTGTGAGTCTATGGGTCTCTGCGTGAGTCTACAGGTCTCTGCGTGAGTCTATGGTCTCTGTGTGAGTCTACGGGTCTCTGTGTGAGTCTATGGGTCTCTGTGTGAGTCTACGGGTCTCTGCGTGAGTCTACAGGTCTCTGCGTGAGTCTACAGGTCTCTGCGCGAGACTACGGGGTCTCTGTGTGAGTCTACAGGTCTCTGTGTGAGTCTACAGGTCTCTGTGTGAGTCTACGGGTCTCTGCGTGAGTCTATGGGTCTCTGTGTGAGTCTATGGGTCTCTGCGTGAGTCTACAGGTCTCTGCGTGAGTCTACAGGTCTCTGCGTGAGTCTACGGGGTCTCTGTGTGAGTCTACAGGTCTCTGTGTGAGTCTACAGGTCTCTGCGTGAGTCTACAGGTCTCTGCGTGAGTCTACAGGTCTCTGCGTGAGTCTACAGGTCTCTGCGTGAGTCTACAGGTCTCTGCGTGAGTCTATGGGTCTCTTCGTGAGTCTACAGGTCTCTGGGTGAGTCTATGGGTCTCTTCGTGAGTCTACAGGTCTCTGCGTGAGTCTATGGGTCTCTTCGTGAGTCTACAGGTCTCTGCGTGAGTCTACAGGTCTCTGCGTGAGTCTACAGGTCTCTGCGTGAGTCTACAGGTCTCTGCGTGAGTCTACAGGTCTCTGCGTGAGTCTATGGGTCTCTTCGTGAGTCTACGGGGTCTCTGTGTGAGTCTACGGGTCAGCGATGACGATGACGATGCTGCTCGCTTAAGCCAAAGCAGGCCAAACGTTCCCCCACGCCCTCCACGTAAGGGAGGCAGGGACCTGAGTGGCGGCGGCGGCGGTGAGGAGGAGGAGGAGGTGACGGGGGAGACGCGGCCGTACCTGCTTGTAAACCTCGCCCTTGTGGAGAGCCGTGATGCGATCCCACTGCAGTCCACCCTGCGCGTCCAGCCGGCGGAACGGTCTAGGTGACACACACACACACCGTGTACACACACAGTGTACACAAACACCGTGTACGTACACACACAGTGTGTACACACACAGTGTACACACACCGTGTACACACAGTGTACACACACAGTGTACACACACACACACAGTACACACAGTGTACACACACAGTGTACACACACCGTGTACACACACAGTGTACACACACACAGTGTACACACACACACACATTGTACACACAGTGTACACACACCGTGTACACACACCGTGTACACACACACAGTGTATACACACACACACATTGTACACACAGTGTACACACACACAGTGTACACACAGTGTACACACACACAGTGTACACACAGTGTACACACATTGTACACACATTGTACACACACACACTGTACACACACACACAATGTACACTGTGTGTGTGTGTACACACATTGTACACACACAGTGTACACACACACATTGTACACATACAGTGTACACACACACACACATTGTACACACACAGTGTCCACACACACACACATTGTACACACACACAGTGTCCACACACACACACATTGTACACACACACAGTGTCCACACACACACACACATTGTACACACACACAGTGTCCACACACACACACATTGTACACACACACAGTGTCCACACACACACACATTGTACACACACACAGTGTCCACACACACACATTGTACACACACACAGTGTCCACACACACACACACACATTGTACACACACACAGTGTACACACACACACACATTGTACACACACACAGTGTACACACACATACATTGTACACACAAACACACATTGTACACACACACAGTGTACACACACATATTGTACACACAGTGTACACACACACGTTGTACACACACAGTGTACACGCACACGTTGTACACACACAGTGTACACGCACACGTTGTACACACACAGTGTACACACACGCACACATTGTACACACACAGTGTACACACACACATTGTACACATAGTGTACACACACATTGTACACACACACACACATTGTACACACACATTGTATACACACAGTGTACACACACAGTGTACACACACACACATTGTATACACACAGTGTACACACACACACACATTGTACACACACAGTGTACACACACACACATTGTACACACACAGTGTACACACACACACATTGTACACACACAGTGTACACACACACACATTGTACACACACAGTGTACACACACACACATTGTACACACACAGTGTACACACACACACATTGTACACACACAGTGTACACACAAAAAGTGTATACACACACAGTGTACACACACACACAGTGTACACATACAGTGTACACACACATTGTACACACACAGTGTAAACACACACACATTGTACACACACATTGTACACACACAGTGTACACACACACATTGTACACACACAGTGTACACACACACACACATTGTACACAGTGTAAACACACACAGTGTACACACACATTGTACACACACACACACATTGTACACACACATTGTACACACACAGTGTACACACACATTGTACACACACATTGTACACACACATTGTACACACACATTGTACACACACAGTGTTCACACACAGTGTTCACACACACACACATATTGTACACACGCAGTGTACACACACATTGTACACACACAGTGTACACACACACACATTGTACACACACAGTGTACACAAACGCACACACATTGTACACACACAGTGTACACAAACGCACACACATTGTACACACACAGTGTACACACACACAGTGTACACACACACAGTGTACACACACAGTGTACACACACAGTGTACACACACACACACACATTGTACACACACAGTGTACACACACACACATTGTACACACACAGTGTACACACACACACATTGTACACACACAGTGTACACACACACACATTGTACACACACAGTGTACACACACACACATTGTACACACACAGTGTACACACACACACATTGTACACACACAGTGTACACACACAAAGTGTATACACACACAAAGTGTATACACACACAGTGTACACACACACACAGTGTACACATACAGTGTACACACACATTGTACACACACAGTGTAAACACACACACATTGTACACACACATTGTACACACACAGTGTACACACACACATTGTACACACAGTGTACACACACACACACATTGTACACAGTGTAAACACACACAGTGTACACACACATTGTACACACACACACACATTGTACACACACATTGTACACACACAGTGTACACACACATTGTACACACACAGTGTTCACACACAGTGTTCACACACATATTGTACACACGCAGTGTACACACACATTGTACACACACAGTGTACACACACACACATTGTACACACACAGTGTACACAAACGCACACACATTGTACACACACAGTGTACACAAACGCACACACATTGTACACACACATTGTACACACACAGTGTACACACACAGTGTACACACACACAGTGTACACACACACACATTGTACACACACAGTGTACACACACACACATTGTACACACACAGTGTACAAACACAGTGTACACACACACTGTACACACACACTGTACACACACACTGCACACACACAGTGTACACACACACATATTGTACACACACAGTGTAAACACACACACACATATTGTACACACACAGTGTAAACACACACACATATTGTACACACACAGTGTAAACACACACACATACTGTACACACACAGTGTAAACACACACACACACATTGTACACACACAGTGTAAACACACACACACATTGTACACACACATTGTACACACACAGTGTACACACACACAGTGTACACACACACACAGTGTACACACACAGTGTACACACACACTCCCGCACACACACACACACGTGGGCTCACTTCCGCTTGTCGTTGAAGAAGCTCGGCTTGTCGGCCTTCACGATGACCACGTCAAAGAGGTCCCTCCAGTCCTTCCCCACCATGTACCGCATGCCCTTGTCACTACAAAGACAAAGATACCACGTGTAGCCTTCACAGACTGTAGGGGCAAGTGCTGTTCGCGAGTAGCGCCTATGAAGGCCGGCACGGCGCACGAGGGGACGAGTGGCCCAGCACCACGCCCGTCCGCCTTTGTCTCCCCAGCGGCGATGTTTACACACCGCACCGGGCTACTCATGAGGCCGAGTCGACCTAAGGGAGGCCCAGGACCAGCTCAGATAGTCGTTACCGGTGTTGGCCGTGAGCGGGAATCGAACTCTGGTCGCCGGGTTCGTAGCGCAGTGCACAGCTAACCGCTACACCACCGCTCCACACACAACAACAACAACCGCCATTCGCCACTAAGTGGTGGTGATGTCACCACGACGCTTGTGCCAGGCCATGTGCACCTTGAGGCCACGTGGAGTGTCGAACGCCCGCTGGCAGGAGGTCACGGGGCAGACCCAAGTGCCACAGGTCGACTGACTGAGATGACTGGCTGATGCACCACCTGTGCCCTCTACTGTGCCAATCTGCTGTGCTTTAGCCACCCGGCGCTCCGCTCGTTGTTGTGAGCGTCGCTCTTCCACCCTCCGTTGTTGTTGGAGGGCGACTACCTCCAACTGCCCAGTAGCGTCCTTCACGGGCCTCCTCCACAGAGGCCGATCTTGACACCGCTGGTACCAGTCATCGGCAACTCCACTCAGCTCCACGTCCTCCTGTCCCACATCACTCCATCTCTTCTCTAGCCTGTGCCACACCCGTTTAGCCCCCTCGATCCGGCCGAACAAAAGCTGTTTCGGCATGCGGTGGCTGGGCATGCGGGCTACATGTCCCAGCCAATGCAGCCTTGCCTGCCGGAGGAGCTCACTGATGGGACCTTGCCCAGATCTTTCAAGGATTTGTGAGCTCCTCACACAATCCAGCCTGGTTAAACCCAGGATGGATCGTAGGCAGGCTAGCCTAAATGTTTCTAACCGGCGAAGATGTTCTATTAAGGGGGTCCACGTTTCGCAAGCGTAGAGAAGGGAGGGAATGACCGTGGCCGAGAAGACCTGAAGCTTAATGCGGAGCGACAGACTAGGTAGCTTCCACACAGTGTTATGCAACCGACGAAAAGATATTGCCGCTCGACTGATTCAGAGTGAGACCTCTGCTGTTAAACTGGAGCCGGTCATAAGCACACTGCCCAGGTATGGGAAACTCTCCACTCTCTCCACAACTGCCCCATCACCGATTGGGAGTTGTGGGGGTGGAGTGTCCGATGGTACAAAATACCCAGGCAGGTGCTTAGTTTTGGTGGGGCTGATGGCAAGGCCCCATCTCTTAGTGGCACGCTCCAGTCTCAGCAGAAGCGTCTCCAACTCCTCTGAATGAGCAGCTATTACCAAATCATCGGCATACATAACGTGGTTGAGCAATAGGGAGCCATCCCTTGACCGCACCTGGGCATCGATCAGCCTCCCATTATATCTGTACCAAATGGAGATTCCCCCGGTACAGCTATTGAAGGCTTCACGAACTACGTGGTCAAAATAGATGTTAAATAATGTGGGAGTCAGAGGACATCCCTGTCGCACCCCAAGGTGTACAAGGAATGGCTCTGACTCCCGGCCACGTAGTTTTACCCGGGCCCGCTCACCATCATGAAGGTCCTTAATGATCGTGAGCAGCGGGTCAGGGACTCTAAAAGCACGAAGAACAACCAAGAGCCCAGGCCTACTGATGGTATCATAGGCCTTGACCAGGTCAATAAAGCAGAGATGTAGGTCTTGTTGGAATTCCCTACATCTCTGCTGTAGCAGACGGACAGAAAATATGGCATCTGTGCAGGACCGCCCTTTCCTGAAACCGCACACACACAAAGTGACACACACACTCACACTCCCATACACTCACACTCATATACAAAGACAAAGATCCCCCGTATAGCCTTAACAGAATGTTGGGGCAAGTGCTGCTAGCGAGGACCTACACTCATATACAAAGACAAAAACTCCCGCGTAGAGCCTTAAGATTGTTGGGGCAAGTGCTGTTAGCAAGCACCTACACTCATACACACTCACACACACTCACTCACACTCCCACACTCCCACACGCACTTGGACCCACAGGGCAGAAATGAGCTGAGCTGTAAAATCCCGCTCCCCCTCTGCACCTCGTCACTTCCGAACACTGGAGCAATAACCCGGCCCCCCCTCCGGCCACCGCCCCCCAATCAGGTAAAACATGACACATGGCCCGAGCCATGAGCAACCTATCGGGGGGGGGGGGGGGGGGGGGTGAGGTTACAAATGAACTCGGTAAAAATCTGCGGAAGCCCCTTTGACAAAGGGTACAGAAAAAAACGGGGACTGTACTTTTGGCTTGGCTTCTTGGTTTGTTTGAACCGCAGATGGTCACGCCCGTCAACCCCTTATCGGTGCCCTACCATGTTACAGACCAATTCAGACCTTACTGGTCCACCCCGTGCACCCCTATAAATCTCAACGTTCATCCTGCAAAGTCCCATCACAAGGGGAGAAACACATACACGTGATTTGTTGTTGTCAGTATTGAATCGGCTGTACACGCCGTGTGGACCTGGAAACTCAATCCCCCTGCACGAGAACGCGGGGTATAAACCGTGTGGGTTGACACGGTGTGGGGGGGTGGTGGAGCGGAATGGTACCCAAGGGCCCTGAACTTCAAGCCGCCTTCGACCACAACGGCGCCGCCGTTATCGAAGTCGCGATGGATAAGAGCGACCGTGTGTCTTGAAACTCAGCAAGGTCGATGTTGTTGGAGCCCGAGTGGAGAAGTAACGACGATGGTGATGGTGGTGATGATGGTGATGATTGTGTCAGGAGGGTTATTGCAAAGTGGACCAGGGTGAGAGGGTGGGAGTGGGTGGGTGGGTGGGTGCGAGTGGGTGAGCGAGTGAGTTGTTGTGTGCTGCAATGTGGTAGTGGTTGATCACAATGTGGTGGTGGTTGATCACAATGTGGTGGTGGTTGATCACAGCATGGAGGTGGTGGTTGATCACAGCGTGGAGGTGGTTGATCACAGTGTGGTCGTGGTTGATCACAGCGTGGTGGTGGTGGTTGATCACAGCGTGGTGGTGGTGGTTGATCACAGTGTGGTGGTGGTTGATCACAATGGTGTGGAGGTGGTGGAGGAGACAGAGCAGTCAATCTCTGGGTTCCGAGTCCTCAACACGAGTGGAGTTTTTGCGAACGTCAGTCACCGTGGTGGTCGTAGTCGCAGTAGCGACAGACGAGCAACAAGGAGGCGTCTGGCCACCGGTGAGAGAGATCAGAGTGACTCGGTGAACGATGGATCGTCAATGACGATGCATCATCAAATGAACACGACTGCTCCATTCGAGTAATCAGAGTGATCGGATTACCACCCCGGGATATGGGGGACAGCAAGGTTCAAGCTTCACGCTCCCCGCTTGATCCGGTTACCGAACCGATAGATTGCTAGAGTGATCGTATTACTAGCGTAACCATATTTCTAGAGTAACGGGATTGCTAGAGTAACCATATTACTAGCGTAACCGGATTGTTAGAGCGACCAGATTGCTAGAATGATCGGATTGCTAGCGTAACCATAATACTAGAGTGTTCGGATTGCTAGCGTAACCATATTACTAGAGTGTTCGGATTGCTAGCGTAACCATAATACTAGAGTGTTCGGATTGCTAGCGTAACCATATTACTAGAGTGTTTGGATTGCTAGCGTAACCATATTACTAGAGTGTTCGGATTGCTAGCGTAACCATATTACTAGAGTGTTCGGATTGCTAGCGTAACCATATTACTAGAGTGTTCGGATTGCTAGCGTAACCATAATACTAGAGTGTTCGGATTGCTAGCGTAACCATATTACTAGAGTGTTCGGATTGCTAGCGTAACCATATTACTAGAGTGTTCGGATTGCTAGCGTAACCATATTACTAGAGCGATCGGATAACTTGAGTAACGGGATTACTAGAGCAATCGGATTACTTGAGTAACCATATTACTAGAGTGATCGTATTACTAGCGTGACCATACTACTAGAGCAGTGGTTCTTAACCTTGTTGGAGGTACCGAACCCCACCAGTTTCATATGCGCATTCACCGAACCCCTCTTTAGTGAAAAATAAAATGTGATTTTTTTCAAATTCAAGACATAGATATGTTTTTTACTGGTACACAAAATGAGCCGTGCATGAACATTACCTTGTTCAAAGAATAAAACCAACACAATGCATAAACTCACAACAAATTACATACCTGGAAATCAATGTGACTTCTGCTGTTGCCTTTGAGAGATCAGTTCAGATATGCGTGGCTTCACCTTGGCAAGTGCCACTCTCATGTCATTTTCACAGCAAAGTCTGTTCCTTTTCTTCGTTTTTATGTCCAGCATCCTCGAAAAGGATTGCTCACAAAGATATGTTGTAACAAATGGTATAAAAAAAATCCAGGGCTTTCTTAGCAATAACTGGATACTTGTTCATTTGTCGACACCAAAACGTTGAGAGCGTTGTTGTTCTGAAGAGTTGCTGTTGAACCTGGCTCTGCTGAATTTCAATGATTTCGTCGAGGAATTCATCATTGACATCTGCTGTTTCAACAGCAAACGTGAACGGCTGTCTCACCCATGCTGGATATGACTCTCTTGTAGGGAAATATCCGTCGAGAGACTTTGCAAGCTCATCTAAGTGCGTGGCAATTGTTTGCTTCAGTTACGTGGATACAGAAATATCTCCGATTCCAGACACATCTTCGATCTTACTTGCACAGTCGTCCAGAAGCGGGAAGTTTGCGAAGTTATTGTTCTCTGTTCGTCGTTTCCATAACGGTAGCTTTTTTTGAAAAGCCTTCAGGTGTTCTTCCGCTTCCATGATATTGACTCCACCACCCTGCATCTGCTGATTGAGATGATTGAGAGCTGCGAATATATCAGCCATGTACGCTAAAATGAGAATGAACTCAGGATTTTTGAAGCAATCTACATGGCAGTGTTGGTGCTCTTGCAAAAACAGGGCTAATTCCACACGCATGGCAAAAACACGATTCAGCACCTGTCCCCGGGATAACCACCGAATATTAGAATGGAGCAGAAGTACCTCAAATTCAGAGCCCATTTCTTTACACAGCTCACTGAAGATGCGGTGCCTCAGAGCACTTTTTCGCACATAGTTCACACATTCCACCACAGTTTTTAATACTTCTGCCATTTTTGGAGGTAAGGTTTTTGTTGCCAACGCATGCCTGTGCAGAATACAATGCGTCACAATGATGTGTGGTGCATCGGCCTTTACTAGCGCACCAAAACCAGACTTTCTTCCCAGCATGACTGGAGCTCCGTCCGTACAAACTGCAGAAACCATATCCCATGAAAGACTGTTGTCTCTGAAGAAGTCATCCACAAGCTTCTTCACATCGGCTGCCTTCGTTGTTGTTGTAAGAGGCTTACAAAATAAAAACTCTTCTTTTATCATGTCGTCTTTCACATAGCGTACAAAAACAGCAAGCTGGCTTAGATCAGAAACGTCTGTGGTTTCGTCGAGTTGAAGGCTGAATTTTGCCGGGCTTGAAATCAGATCCACGACTACTTGAGCCAAGATGTCTTTACTCATGTCTTCTATTCTGTCACTGACGGTGTCATTTGAAAGGGGAATTTGGGATAATTTACCTTCGGCCGCTGTTCCGAGTATCAGATTCGCCATCTTTAATGCAGCTGGTTTCACAAGTGTTTCACCAATGGTGTGTGGCTTGTCCTGCTTTGCGATCAGGTAAGCAACTTCGTACGATGCTGTCAGGATCGGTTTGTTAACAGGTACAAATCCAAGAGCAGGCAGAGTGGCCCCTTCATCGAATCTGGCTCTCTTCACCCTGAATTCAGCAAGTGTTGTGTTCTTGTATTCCCCGTCTCCATGCAGCTTCAAGAAGTGTTCCTTTAGTTTTGCCGGTGCAAGACTAGAGTTGCTCAACTTGGCGTTGCAAATCATGCAGATAGGACGCTCACTCCCATCACGTTCCGTGATACATGAGAATCCATGTTGTACATATTCGTCCGACCACTTTCTTCTTTTGCCCGACATAGTTAGTATGGATAAAATATTAAAGAAATCACACGACGTACGACAACAACAGTCACACGTTGACTACTGAGTACACACTAAATTCCCCTCAGCGCTGATTGGCCAAGCAGTGTAGCATGATCATCTGCAGCCAGTGATGGCCAAGCGGGCCGTGTGTGTCATCACAAATTTACACAATAATTCAAGTGTGTCCGGACCTCCGTGGCGGGGGCTCTGCCGAACCCCTGAGATCGACTCACCGAACCCCTGGGGTTCGATCGAACCCAGGTTAAGAACCACTGCACTAGAGTGATCGGATGAGCGGGTGGTTACGCACACGAAGCTGAAGGGGCTGTTGGTGATGAGGAAGAGCTTCTTGCCGCTGGCGGTCAGCTTGTGAAGGATGTCGTGGGTCTCCTTGCCGTGCAGGATGTAGCGCTCTGCAGACGCAGCGGAGACACGCGGAGGGAGCGGGAGACAGACAGCAAGAGAGGAGAGAGAGATGGAGGGACACGGAGAGACAGGAGGAGAGAGACAGAGAGTGAGAGATGGAGACAGAGAGAGATGGAGACAGAGAGACAGAGAGACAGAGAGAGAGACAGAGAGACACAGAGAGAGAGCAACAGGAGGAGAGAGACGGAGAGCGAGAGAGGTTGAGACAGAGAGATGGAGGGACAGAGAGACAAGAGGAGAGAGACAGAGAGTGAGAGATGGAGACAGAGAGACAGAGAGACAGACAGAGGGACACAGAGAGAGAGAGCAACAGGAGGAGAGAGACGGAGAGCGAGAGAGGTTGAGACAGATATGGAGGGACAGAGAGACAAGAGGAGAGAGACAGAGAGACGAAGGGACACGGAGAGGGACAGGAGGAGCATGAACCATCACGCGAACTCCGATCATCATCACGGCGGCTTTTGGCCAGCCATCAAACAAAGACGGTGATCACCGCATCGCGCGCTTTCAGATGCGCTTCTGTGGCCGTCTGGAACGCTCTTCCGATATTAGGAAGCCACTGGGAGCCATGCACTTTGAAATCATCATCGTCTAGATTGAAAACTCGTTTCTTTAGACTTGATTTTCGTGTTTTTTTTCCTTCCCCCGCAACTCCGATAAGCACGCTTGGCTACGTACGTGCGCATGTGTGTGCGTGTACGTATGTGTGTGTGCGTGTACGCATGTATGTGTGCGTGTACGCATGTGTGTGTGCGTGTACGTATGTGTGTGTGCGTGTACGTATGTGTGTGTGCGTGTACGTATGTGTGTGTGCGTGTACGTATGTGTGTGTGCGTGTACGCATGTGTGTGTGCGTGTACCGTATGTGTGTATGTGCGTGTACGCATGTGTGTGTGCGTGTACCGTATGTGTGTGTGCGTGTACCGTATGTGTATGTGCGTGTACGTATGTGTGTGTGTGCGTGTACCGTATGTGTGTGTGCGTGTACGTACGTGTGTGTGCGTGTACTGTATGTGTGTGTGCGTGTACCGTATGTGTGTGTGCGTGTACGTATGTGTGTGTGCGTGTACGCATGTATGTGTGCGTGTACGCATGTGTGTGTGCGTGTACGTATGTGTGTGTGCGTGTACGTATGTGTGTGTGCGTGTACGTATGTGTGTGTGCGTGTACGTATGTGTGTGTGCGTGTACGTATGTGTGTGTGCGTGTACGCATGTGTGTGTGCGTGTACCGTATGTGTGTATGTGCGTGTACGCATGTGTGTGTGCGTGTACCGTATGTGTGTGTGCGTGTACCGTATGTGTATGTGCGTGTACGTATGTGTGTGTGTGCGTGTACCGTATGTGTGTGTGCGTGTACGTACGTGTGTGTGCGTGTACTGTATGTGTGTGTGCGTGTACCGTATGTGTGTGTGCGTGTACATATGTGTGTGTGCGTGTACGTACGTGTGTGTGCGTGTACGTACGTGTGTGTGCGTCTACGCATGTGTGTGTGCGTGTACGTATGTGTGTGCGTGTACGCATGTGTGTGTGCGTGTACGTATGTGTGTGTGTGCGTGTACGCACGTGTGTGCGTGTACGCACGTGTATGTGCGTGTACGTACGTGTGTGTGCGTGTACGCACGTGTGTGTGCGTGTACGTACGTGTGTGTGCGTGTACGTACGTGTGTGTGCGTGTACGTACGTGTGTGTGTGCGTGTACGTACGTGTGTGTGCGTGTACGTACGTGTGTGTGCGTGTACGTACGTGTGTGTGCGTGTACGTACGTGTGTGCGTGTACCGTATGTGTGTGTGCGTGTACCGTATGTGTGTGTGCGTGTACGTACGTGTGTGCGTGTACCGTATGTGTGTGTGCGTGTACGTACGTGTGTGTGCATGTACCGTATGTGTGTGTGTGGAGCGGTGGTGTAGCGGTCAGCGCGCTGCGCTACGAACCTGGCGACCCAGGTTCAATTCCCACTCACGGCCAACACCACGGTGACGATTATCTGAACCGGTCCTGGGCCTCCCCTAGGTCGACTCGGCCTCAAACGAGTACCTGGTGCGATGTGTAAACATCGCCACTGGGGAGACAAATAAGTGCCCGGTGCAGTGTGGGGGGGGGGGGGGGGGTGTGGGGGGGGGGGGCTTCAAGCGGCTCGTTGGCCGTGCCGGCCACAGTAGGTGCTTGGCTACCGCACTCCGGCCCCGAGTGCCTGGCTGCAACATGGCGCATCTGCCGCGTCACGCGTGCACCCAACTCACCGAGATCCTTTTCAATCAACTTGTACATCACTCCCCTGGTGTGGACATCCTTCACCGAATCCTGCGGACACACACAGCGATCGTCATCGTCGTCATCATCAATGTCGTCATCGTCGTCATCATCAGTATCGTCATCGTCGTCATCATCAATGTCGTCATCGTCGTCATCATCAGTGTCGTCATCGTCGTCATCGTCGCAGTCGTCATCGTCGTCATCATCAGTGTCGTCATCGTCGTCATCATCATCAGTGTCGTCATCGTCGTCATCATCAGTGTCGTCATCGTCGTCATCATCAGTGTCGTCATCGTCGTCGGCATCATCGTCATCCACGGGCATTGTCACCGGAGGGTCGCTTGAAATGATCACCGAGGTAGTTCTGCGACATCCGCTTCTGCGGACCGCTCTCTAACGCGGGTTGAGGGGGGCTGCACCGCCGAGAGCTGCGCCCAACCGGCACCGAATTTGCGCCGAAACCGGGGGGGGGCGAAACGACGGTCGCAACTTCTACGGCCGGTGGTCAACCGGCGGCCCGGCGTTTTTACCCGGAGAGCCGATCCCTGTCCTCCGAGAGACCCAACTCCCGTGGCTCACGAGGAATCTAGCTCTGGCGCGTGACGCCCAGCTCACCGAGCGGCACAGATTCGGAGCGACACGCGTGTCTGCGCCACTACCACAACCGCCATTTGCCGCTAGGTGGCGGTGACGTCACCACGGCGCTTGTGCCAGGCCAAGTGCACTTTAAGGCCACGTGAAGTGTTGAACTCCCGCTGGCAGGAGGTCACGAAACAGACCCGGGTGCAGCAAAGAGCCACTGCCACCACCATTACAACCACAACCACCACCATCACCAAAACCATCACAAAACCTTCCTCTGAATATTTATACGATGGATCGTCGCGTTGCGATCTTAGCCACGATCTTCCAATATATGTTGGGTGTCAGGCACGGTGGGCGTGTGGGTGCGGTGGGCGTGTGGGTGTGGTGGGGGTGGTGGTTTCGGTGGGCGTGGTGGTTACGGTAGGGGTGTGGGTGCGGTGGGCGTGTGGGTGCGGTGAGGGTGCGGTGAGGTGTGGGTGTGGTGGACGTGACGGGTGCCGTGGGTACGCGAGTGCGGCCGCCGCGCCGGCCGGCGGCAGCTGGCTCGGCGCGCACCGTCACGTCCTTGTAGAGGTGGACGGGGTCGTAGTCGATGTTGTTGCTCAGGAAGTAGTCGTTGACGCAGGACAGCAGCATCATCTCGGGCAGCGAGAAGATGTCCATGAACTGCTTCATGGAGCTCCCCTGCACGCGACAGACAACCGCGGGCAGGCGGGTGAGCGGGGGAGTGAGCAGGCGAGTCAGCGGGCGGGTGAGCGGGCGAGTCAGCGGGTGAGTCAGCGGGCGGGTGAGCGGGCGGGTGAGCGGGCGGGTGAGCGGGCGGGTGAGCGGGCGGGTGAGCGGGCGAGTGAGTGAGCGGATGAACGAGGTCGCGCGGCTGCCACCGCCGCCGCGTCGCCCGGCCGCCCGCACGCACCGCCGCCCTCTTCGCCACGCACGGCAGAGTGAGGAGACGCGTGGGAGTCGCCCACTCACCCCCTCGCCCCCTCGCCCAATCGGCAACTCGCCCAATTGGCCACTCACACTTAATCTGTGAATCTCGCCCACTCGCCCCCCCTTACCCACTCGCCCACTCAGCCACTCGCCCACCTTGCCGTAGAAGTCGCTCATCTGGTCGAGCGGGACGTGCGTGCCATCGTACAGCGAGCGAACCTCCTCCTCCGACACGGGGCTCAGGCCCCTGGGGGGCAACGGGGGACAGAGTGGAGAGAGAGGGGGGGGAGAGAGGGGGGAGAGAGGGGGAGATGGGGGGGGGGAAGAGAGAGAGAGGGAGATGAGAGTGCGGATGAGCAAAAAGTCCGATTCACTCTCAGGATTGGTCTCCATAGTTTGGGAAACCCTGTTGTCATGGAAACCCTGTTGTCATGGAAACCCTGTTGTCATGGAAACCCTGTTGTCATGGAAACCCTGTTGTCATGGAAACCCTGTTGTCATGGAAACCCTGTTGTCATGGAAACCCTGTTGTCATGGAAACCCTGTTGTCATGGAGCCTGGCCAAACGTTGACGTCACGAGTCCCCGAATCGCAACGTCGCGCACCCCGAAGTCCCGCTCGTCTCGCTGACGAAGAGCTTCGCAGCGCATCGGATTTCTCCGGGATAAATAAAAAAAAAAAAGAGATTCGGACTCTGTTCGAGGGACAGGCGGACCCGGCCAACAGCAACTGAAAGGGGTTTTAAAAGTCAAAGAGGTTCACGGGAAGGGTTGGGGGGGGGCTGGGAAGGGTGGGGGGCGGGCAGGCGGGTGGGACGGACTCAACGCCCGCGGCCACCACGCCACCCGCTTGCTTGGCGCCGTCACGGCTACAGGTTTGGCAGCCGCCGCCGCCGCCGGCCCACCGCTCGGCCAAACGCGTTAAACCCACGTGGGGAGGGCTGCCTTCATCCAGCAGTGGATAGAGCACGGGGGCAGCTCAACCCACGCGGGCTCACCTGTATACGGTGCCCGGCTGGATGTAGTGGAAAGCGTCGATCTTCATGAGCAGAGCCTGGCGGAGGGTTGGGGGGGGGTGGACAGACTGGATTCGAATTCCCAACTAGACAGGCGTTTTAATACGCAGAGACAGCTGCGTTCGCACAGAGACAGCTGCATCAAGATGTCAACGAGCCCAGATCTCCGTACCTTCTGGACATCGTAGTGAAGGCCCCTGATGGCAAAGCCCGGCAAATATGCGTAGGCACGCAGCTCCTCTGGGTACTGCAGACAGACAGAGAGATCACACAGAGATCACACAGATATCACACAAATATCACACAGAGATCACACAGAGATCACACACAGATCGCACACAGATCGCACACAGATCGCACAGAGATCGCAGAGAAATCGCACAGATATCGCACAGATATCGCACAGAGATCACAGAGATCACACAGAGATCACACAGAGATCACACACAGATCACAGAGAGATCACACAGAGATCACACAGAAATCACAGAGATCGCACAGAGATCACACATAGATCACACAGATCCCCGTGTAGCCACCCTGCCTGTTGGGACCGGCAGTGTTAGTGAGCACCTATTAAGGCCAACCCGGCGCACAACGGGATCGTGCAATCTAAACTAAACTATTATTTTTATTCTTACCAGCTCAGGCCCCCTGAACTACGTCGCTCTTTTTCCAGAAGCGACCTGGCCATCACAGATGATAGCCCAACCCAGCCGCTCACCATCGTCATCGTCATTATCATCGTCATCGTCGTCATCGTCATCATCGTCGTCATCGTCATCGTCGTGGAAATTTATAGCAGCAGCCGAAGACTCTGAACGCGTGGTAACGTCGATTTCAAAACGTGGAGGGAAAACAACAGAGGACCCGGAGAAAAAGCCACACGGCCACGGGGAGAGAGACGCCAACTCCAAATATACAGCAGCAGCAGCAGGCGTCAGGGTCGGGATGGAACCCACGACCTCCTGCATACCAGGCGAGGTAGTTAACATCTCCTAGCCACCGTGATGATGATGAGAGAGACACGCAAACTCCAAATATACAGCAGCAGGCGTCGGGGTCGGGATGGAACCCACGACCTCCTGTACACCAGGCGAGGTAGTTAACATCTCGCCAGTGGCGCCAGCAGCTCCCGGCCGCTTTTGTCTCGAAATGTCTTCATTTGGATAAGAGAGTGAGTGAGTGTGTGAGCAACTGCATGAGTGAGTGTGTGAGCAACTGGATGAGAGAGTGAGTGAGTGAGCAACTGGATAAGAGAGTGAGTGAGTGAGCAACTGGATGAGAGAGTGAGTGTGTGAGCAACTGGATGAGTGAATGTGTGAGCAACTGGATGAGAGAGTGAGTGAGTGAGCAACTGGATGAGAGAGTGAGTGTGTGAGCAACTGGATGAGTGAGTGTGTGAGCAACTGGATCAGAGAGTGAGTGTGTGAGCAACTGGATGAGAGAGTGAGTGTGTGAGCAACTGGATGAGAGAGTGAGTGTGTGAGCAACTGGATGAGTGAGTGTGTGAGCAACTGGATGAGAGAGTGAGTGAGTGAGTGAGCAACTGGATAAGAGAGTGAGTGAGTGAGCAACTGGATGAGAGAGTGAGTGTGTGAGCAACTGGATCAGTGAATGTGTGAGCAACTGGATGAGAGAGTGAGTGAGTGAGTGAGCAACTGGATGAGAGAGTGAGTGTGTGAGCAACTGGATGAGTGAGTGTGTGAGCAACTGGATCAGAGAGTGAGTGTGTGAGCAACTGGATGAGAGAGTGAGTGTGTGAGCAACTGGATGAGAGAGTGAGTGTGTGAGCAACTGGATGAGTGAATGTGTGAGCAACTGGATGAGTGAATGTGTGAGCAACTGGATGAGAGAGTGAGTGAGTGAGTGAGCAACTGGATAAGAGAGTGAGTGAGTGAGTGAGCAACTGGATGAGAGAGTGAGTGTGTGAGCAACTGGATGAGAGAGTGAGTGTGTGAGCAACTGGATGAGTGAATGTGTGAGCAACTGGATGAGAGGGTGAGTGAGTGAGTGAGCAACTGGATGCGAGAGTGAGTGTGTGAGCAACTGGATGAGAGAGTGAGTGAGTGTGTGAGCAACTGGATGAGCGAGTGAGTGAGTGAGCAACTGGATGAGTGAGTGAGTGTGTGAGCAACTGGATGAGTGAGTGAGTGTGAGCAACTGGATGAGAGAGTGAGTGTGTGAGCAACTGAATGAGAGAGTGAGTGAGTGTGTGAGCAACTGGATGAGTGAGTGTGTGAGCAACTGGATGAGATAGTGAGTGAGTGAGCAACTGGATGAGAGAGTGAGTGAATGTGTGAGCAATTGGATGAGAGAGTGAGTGTGTGAGCAACTGAATGAGAGAGTGAGTGAGTGTGTGAGCAACTGGATGAGAGTGAGTGTGAGCAACTGGATGAGAGAGTGAGTGTGTAAGCAACTGAATGAGAGAGTGAGTGAGTGTGTGAGCAACTGGATGAGAGAGTGAGTGAGTGTGTGAGAAACTGAATGAGAGTAAGTGAGTGTGAGCAACTGGATGAGAGAGTGAGTGTGTGAGCAACTGAATGAGAGAGAGTGAGTGTGTGAGCAACTGGATGAGAGAGTGAGTGAGTGTGTGAGCAACTCGATGAGAGAGTGAGTGTGTGAGAAACTGAATGAGAGTGAGTGTGTGAGCAACTGGATGAGAGAGTGAGTGTGTGAGCAACTGGATGAGTGAGTGTGTGAGCAACTGGATGAGAGTGAGTGTGTGAGCAACTGGATGAGAGAGTGAGTGAGTGAGCAACTGAATGAGAGAATGAGTGAGTGAGCAACTGGATGAGAGAGTGAGTGTGTGAGCAACTGGATGAGTGAGCAACTGGATGAGAGTGTGAGTGTGTGAGCAATTGTATTAGAGACTGAGTGAGTGGGCAACTGGATGAGAGAGTGAGTGAGTGAGCAACTAGATGAGAGAGAGAGAGAGTGTGTGAGCAATTGGATAAGAGAGTGAGTGAGTGTGTGAGCAACTGGATGAGAGAGTGAGTGAGTGTGTGAGCAACTGGATGAGAGAGTGAGTGAGTGTGTGAGCAAACGGATGAGAGAGTGAGTGAGTGAGCAACTGGATGAGAGAGTGAGTGAGTGTGTGAGCAACTGGGTGAGAAAGTGAGTGAGTGAGCAACTGAATGAGTGAGTGAGTGAGCAACTGGATAAGAAAGTGAGAAAGTGCATGAGCAACTGGATGAGAGAGTAAGTGAGTGTGTGAGCAACTGGATGCGAGAGTGAGTGAGTGTGTGAGCAATCGATAAGAGAGTGAGTGTGTGTGCGAGCAAGTCAGCGAGTGAGTAGGTGAGTGATGGGATGAGAATGCGAGCGAGTGGGTGGGTGAACGACTGGATGAGCAAGTGGGTGGATGAGCGATTGAATGAGTGAGTCGGTGAGTGATTTAATTTAGTGAGTGAGTGGGTGAGCAACTGGATTAGAGTGCACGTGAGTGGGTGGGTGAGTGACTGGATGAGTGAGTGAGTGGCTGCGTGAGTGAGTGTGTGGGTGAGTGACTGGATTAGAGTGCGCGCGAGTGGGTGGGCAAGCGACTAGATGAGAAAGAGGGTGAGCGAGTGAGTGAATCACTGGATGAGAGGGTCAACTGAGCGAGCCGGTGGGGTGAGCGACCGGATGAGCGAGCGAGCGAGCGAGCGAGCGAGCAAGAGGTCCAACTGCCCCACCTTGTACTCGGACAGCAGGATGTCAAGGGCCGTGCTGAAGATCTTGGCGTGCAGCTCGTTGGAGTAGAATGCGAGCGTGTAGTCGTAGTCGAAGCCGTAGACCTGCACGCTCGCCAGGCTCAGCTCGTTGTTGGCGAAGATGGAGGACGCGCTTTGGGCTTGGCAGATCGTGGGGGGCACCATCTCTGTGTTTGTGGGGGGAGAGGGGGGGAGAGCGGGGAGGGGGGAAGGTCAGGGGTCAAAGAGCCGGCTACGAACACCTGTAAATCGCCCCGCGCGGTACGGCAAAGTGCGGGCTAGATCCCCATCCGTTCCACACTCTTCTCGTAAGCCTCGCAAATAAGCACGCGCATCACCATGCCGCGTTCTCACGATCCTTACAACTAGCACGTGCATAATGCAGCATCATACCGCACGCAGCGTCATACCACCTGTCAACCGTCTCTCCCAAACTTGCCGTTCTCGCGAGCCAAGCCTACGCGTCACAACGTCGTGGGGGTCAAAGTGCGCGCGGTGAAAACCGTGGGGGGGTGGTGGTGGGCAACACCGCGAAGAGGAAACTCCTCGCGCGACGAGCAACAACAACAACAACAAACATCCGGGATCGCGACGAGTGCTCACGTAGTCGCCGAAGAGGGGAAAATCGGTGCGGTGTGTGTGTGGGGTGGGGTCCGGTCAGAGGTCACGGTAATTCTTGCGTAACAGCTTCTGCTTTGGCCAGCGGCCAAAGTAATTGTTCTCCGGCAGGTTACAACAAGACTGCCGCCTCTCCTTCCTGGCCCTTCGCCGATCAAAACTAAACAACTAAAAAAACGACGCCCGGCGTGTTTGTGAACCCTGGCCAGCCGCCCGCTCGCTCGCTCGCTCGGTCGCGTCGCGTCTCCAACGGCGACGGTGCCGGCGAGGGCCGCGCCAGTCGGTCCAGAAATGCGAGCGCGCCAAATCGTCGCGGCGACGGCGGCTGGGAGGAGCACGGCGGGGGTGGTGGTGGCGGTGGTGGGGGGGCAGGGAGCGGGGGTGGTGGTGGCGGTGGTGGGGGGGTTGGATGGTGGCGGTGGTGGGGGGGGTTGGATGGTGGCGGTGGTGGGGGGGCAAGGAGCGGTGGGTGGGGTGGGGGGAGTTGGCTGGTGACGGGAATGTGAATCGGACCCCCCCCCTCACCCCCCCCGTCCGATTCACGTCGCCAGCAAGTCGCGAGGCCCAAACCCACCGTGCCGTTTTTTTTGGTCCCGACAATGGAAAATTCAATCTGGGGGGATTAAATAAAAATCACTTAAAATCCCCCAGCTCCCCCTCCACCCGCCACCATTAATCCGCGTACATTAGCTGACATGATACCTCTCGCAGGATGCCGAACCGGCGTGGAAGCGGGGACCGCCGCACGAGCCCTCGAATCGCGAACCTTTCCGCCTCGCCGCCATCAACCGCCCCGATCATTTGCTCGCCACGTGGCATTCCTCGGGGAGCCTGCCGCACTCGTCATCTGCAACACCGACGGCGTTGTCTCCTTACCCTGCATAGTAAAACTAATTGCGTTCTTTCGTTTTGCCAGGCAGCCAGGTAAATTATACGACACATCGCTAACCTTAAACACCGGGTCGTAAAAGTTGAAGGCGGTGTAGTACTATTAGTAGTTAGAGCAAGTGCAGCATTACTGAAGCGGAATTGATGGCTTGAAAGCGTTTAGCGCGGGGCCCTTGAAAGTGCGCGGCCCGTAGCTACTACACGTGTAGCTACTTGTGCTACTACACTTGTAGCTACTACACGTGTAGCTACACAGTAGCTACTTGAGTAGCTACACAGTAGCTACTTGAGTAGCTACACAAGTAGCTACTACACGTGTTGTAGCTACACAAGTAGCTACTACACGTGTTGTAGCTACACAAGTAGCTACACAAGTAGCTACTACACGTGTTGTAGCTACACAAGTAGCTACTACACAGTAGCTACTTGAGTAGCTACACAGTAGCTACTTGAGTAGCTACACAAGTAGCTACTACACGTGTTGTAGCTACACAAGTAGCTACTACACGTGTAGCTACTTGTGCTACTAAGGATCATCCGGCACTGTCCCCCCCCCGCCTCTCCCCGCCCCCCCCCCCCCGTCACTTTACTTTTACCTTTGTTCCTCTCCCCTTGCCTTCCTCTTTCACCCCCCCCCCACCCCCCCACAAAATCCGTCCGCTCACGCCCGCCCGTAGTCCCGACTCCGGGCGGGCGTGGGGGCGGCGAGTCCCAATCGTCGCCACCTTCCCCATACCCAGGAGCAAGGGAGTTCGGCCTTCGGTTGTCCGCGGAATTTCTGTACCCCCCCTCCTCTTCCTCCTCCCCCCCATCGCTCCCTCCCTCGTTACAGGTTCATGCCTTTTTACCAGGCTCTTGTCAATTATTATATATTTATTTTATACAGAGAGACGACGACGACGACGATGATGACGATGATGACGGACTGCGCGCAAACCGGCGTAGGTTAATTGCTCGGGGCGCCGGGTGCGGCAAAGCCCGTGCCGGGTGCGGTAAAGCCCGTGCCGGGTGCGGCAAAGCCGGTGCCGGGTGTGGCAAAGCCGGTGCCGGGTGCGGTAAAGCCGGTGCCGGGTGCGGTAAAGCCGGTGCCGGGTGCGGCAAAGCCCGTGCCGGGTGCGGTAAAGCCCATGCCGGGTGCGGCAAAGCCCGTGCCGGGGAGGGTCCCCATAGCCCGTGTCGCCGACTGTTTCATGGCCCGTAGATTTTTTTTTCCGCGCCCCCCCGTACGCACGTACAGTGCGTAGCAACCAAATGTCACGTCGCCAGTCTTGGCGGTGAAGATCAAATTCCAAGTTCTAACCCCACCCCCCCCTCCCCACACGTTTTGATCAATGTCGCCAGTTTTCCCGCGGGGGCGCGTTCCCAAGAGCGACGCAACTTCACACCGAAGTTTTCGTCGGCGGTGGATCGTCTTTTGCTGGAGTCAGCGGGCACCCCCGTGTGTTACGAACACACGGCCAGGTGGAGGGTAAGAAGGGGCAAAACGAGGTACAGGTGCCAACCTGCTTGCTATTGGTTGCTCTTCCCACCGATTAGCACGGTCGGCTAAGGTGCATTGCGAAAGAAGTTGAACGTACGTAGCAGAAGGCCCTCTGGATGAACACAGCTAAGGTGTGTCTCCCAACATATGGGCCATTTACACCTTTTATGAGCATGGGGAGTGTCTTTTTTCCCCACAATCGGATAAGTCCCTTAATAGTAGCGCAACGTTGCAATACTGAGAGCTCGTGCATAAAAGCCCTCTCTTACGTCCTAGTAAACGTTTGTTTAAAATCTAAAGTCACAGGTTGAGTCGTCGCTCAAATGGACATCTAGAAACGGCACTCATCCCGCCCTGTGTATAGCCCCGAGCCAGTGGTGGAAAATCCACATTACTATGGCGGGGGTTTAGGGTGGCGATGGGTCAGTGGGACGGGCAGCCTATCCAAAGGACGACCACCGAGACGAGTGGCGCCGGATTTAAATCGACGCCATCCAGAATTTGAACTCTCTCAAAACCCGTCCCGCGCTCGCGCGGCCGCACCGCAGCTCCCGACGGCCGCACCGCCCGGGCTGTGGGCCGGCGCGCCCATCAACTCCGGCCGGCGGGGTTGGAAGGCGGCGGCGGAGGAGTCCGACCCGCCACCTCGCCGGCGGTTCGCAGCAGCCGCGATTGCGGCCGCGGCCGAGCGCCATCGCTTCGGCGGTTGCGGGGGGGCCGTTCTCGTGCGCGCTGGGGGGGGGCACCGCGCGGTAAATATAGCCGGCGTCCGTGGCGGTGGCTGTTTCCGCTCGGGTTACAACGCCTGTCGTCGTCGTGGTGGTGGTGGTGGGGGGGTGGGTGGCGGGGGGTGGGTGGGTGGGTGGGGGGGGTCGCGTCCCGGTGCTCTTTCCACAAAATCGCCGCGGCTAAAACCGTCTCGTCCCGGCGCCTCTCCCGCCGGTGCCAACAACAATTATTTTCGTTCTCTCATCGACGGGAGGCGTCGTCAGGTGCCGAGGGCGAAGTGGGTGCGGGGTGGGTGGTGGGGGGAGGGCAGGCGAGGCGCCGCTGCCGCCAGCTTCGATCCGGACGTGTCGGCGGCGAAACATTCACAAATTTGTTTCGTTTGTTGCCGATCGCGCTGCCGGAGGATCGCGCGATCGGCCGGAGAGTTTTTTATTTTATTTTATTTTCAAACCCCCAACGTTTATTTATCACCCGGCGGAAGGTTGCTCAGGTTTCCCTCTCCGCACACGTGCGTGCACAGCATAACCACAATTTCTGCCGTGCATTATGCGGACGCTTTGAACACGTGTGGGCAATCATGAGCGCTGCTCAATTTTAGCCACGGTAGTTCCGCGATGATGCGATGGCTCACCGCCTTTTCGCTGACCATCGAACAAAGACCGTTCTCCCCGCATCGCGCGGCACTTTCAGATGCGCTTCGGCGGCCGTCTGGAACGCTCTTCCTTCCGATATTAGGAAGCCACTGGAGCTTTGCACTTGCATCTAGGCCGAAAAGTCATTTCTTTAGAACTGCTTTTTGCGTTTAGTTCGTTGTGCTTCCCCCGCACCTCCGATTAGCGCGGTTGGCTACGTGCGGTGCAAAAGAAGTTCAACATGCTGTACATTATAGGGCTACACGGTATAATATTATAGTATCGTTATGTATTGATGTAACTTTACATTCTCTTGGTAGTGCATTACGCCGATGAACCTTGCTCCAAGCCAGCCTTGGCAGCGTTTGTGGAGAATATCGAGCGAGAAATTCGATGAAGCTCCCTGGGTGCGTAGCGGAATGTCGCACGAATTGCCAAAAAACGACACGCGTGGAACAACCCGAAAACAACACCGGAGAGATATTCAAAGGAAGGTGGCGGTGGTGGTGCAGGTGGCTGTGGTGGTAATGGTGGTGGCGGCGGTGGTGGTGGTGGCGGTGGCGGTGGCGCCTGTGGTGGCGGTGGTGGCTGTGGTGGCGGTGGTGGCTGTGGTGGCGGTGGTGGCTGTGGTGGCGGTGGCTGTGGTGTCGGTGTTTGTGGTGCCGGTGGCTGTGGTGCCGGTGGCTGCGGTGGCGGTGGCTGTGGTGGTGGTGGCTGTGGCTCTGGTGGCTGTGGTGGCTGTGGTGGTGCTGGCTGTGGTGGCTGGTGGCTGTGGTGGATGTGGTGGTGGTGGCTGTGGTGGTGGTGGCGGCTGTGGTGG